AAAAAGGGTAAGGTCCCAGCAGAGCTTTGAGGCAAGAATTTGAGCATACATATTTTTTCTTTTTAATCTTTTTGTGTGTACGTGTGTGTGTGTGTGTGTGTGTGTGTGTGTATGGACATACACATGCCATAACATACATGTGAAGTTCAGCGGACAACCTCAGGTGTCGGTCTTTGATTTCTATCATCTTTTGTTCTCTGTATGTGCACCAGGCCAGCTGGTCCATACACTTCTGAGGTTCTTTATTATGAGAACCACCATAGAGAACCTAATGAAGAACCCAGGGTTCTTCAGGAAATGAGAACTCAGCCAGAGGCCGAAGGAATGGCTTTGGGGTTGTGGAAGGCCTGGTGAATGTGGGATTCTGGAATCTGAGCTTTCTTTGTTCATACTTGTAAGCCACTTGTCCATGGGACCCTCTATGGGTAGAAGCAGGTGTTGCATTTGGGAGACCCCACTGTGGCCTAAAAAAGGGGGGGGGTCTTTGAATTTTGGTGATTAATTGAGGGTTGAAAACTGTCCTAGTTTGTTTCTCCATTGCTGTGACAAAACACTCTGACCAATACCAACTTGGGGAGGAAAGGGTTTATTTTAACTTACATCTGGGTCACAGTTCATCAGGGAGCCCAAGGTAGGAACTCAGGGCAGGAATCTGGAAGCAGGAGCTGGCACAGAGGCCATGGTGGAACGCTGCTTACTGACTTGCTCCCCTGGCCTCTGCTCATCCTGCCCAGGGGTGGCACCACCCACAGTAGTCTGGGCCCTCCCTCACCACTAAACAATCAAGAAGATGTCCCACAGACATGACCATAGGCCAGACCAATGGAGGCAATTTCCTAGTTGAGGCTCCCTCAGCCCAGGTATGTCAAGTTGACACTAAAGCTATCCAGCACAAAACCCTACTCATGGGCTGGAGTGATAGCTCATTTTGTAAAGTTCTTGCCTTGCAAGCATGAAGCCCTGAGTTCCACCTGCCCAGAACCCATGTTTAAAACAAATAAACAAACAAACAAACAAAATGGTAGGTGAGATGGCTCATTGTGTAAAGATGTCTCTGCTAAGCCTGACTACCAGAGTTTGATCCCCAAGATATACATGGTAAAAGGAGAGAACTTTGGAAATTGTCCTCTGACCCCCACATGGGTGTGGTGGAACGCAAATATGCACATGCACAAACAAAAACGAAAAGTAAATTAAAATGTAAAGAGAAGCAAAAGCTGGATGTGGGGATGTGCTGGAAACAGGTAGATCCCTGGTCTACTGGTGACTCAGGCCTACAAGAGACTTTGTCTCAAAAAATTAGATGGATGACTTGAAGAATGGCACTGTGATCCTGCATGTGTGTATACACGTGTGCCTCCACACACATGAACACACACACACACACACACACACACACACTAAAACCTACACATTGTGCTTTTCTAGCCTTCATGTTCATGCCTCGGTATACTTTTCCACCCTCTGGGAATGTAGGTACATCATTCTGTTTCTTCCTGTTGTTGGACTTCCCTCATCCTCTGTCCCCCTGAGAGCTTGTCCTTTTTTACCTACAGGAGTCTCCACGGTGAGGCTACATGTAGGATACACAACCCAACCTCATATCCTGTCCCTTCTGATTTTATCTGAGTTAGTCCATAGAGACAGTGTTTGTGCCCCAGGGGATATTTGGGCAAAGGGGTAGGTGTCTTTGATAGGTATAGTGGGCCCAGCATCCTTTAGCTTGAGGACGCTCCCACCCATGAGGAGTGACTTCCAGGTGGAACAGATGGCCCTCACCCACAGAATGGCAAGTTCTCCTCTCTTCCCTCACCCCACCATCTAATCCATCAGAGAAACTTCTTTTAGAGTAGTGGGGAAGAGGGTGACATGGCAGGACTGTGACCCTGCAGGGCCCAACAAGTGCATGCTGCCCCAAGACTCTGAGTCTGTGTGGATCACCTAACAGTTGCTGAGTTGGTCTTAAGGCTTCCATATATAGTTTTCTTTCCAGCTGTGTGGGAAAGGGAAGAATGACATCTCTGCAGGTGCTCACACCCTCTGTGCCTTTCAGAATCCTGACCTGGTTCTTATCCTTGGAGCCTGGGGAGCATTTGTAACTAATATGGTTAAGGTTGAACTGGTGCCCTTAGTAGCTGGCTATCCTCCAAGGCAGTGTTATCCCCAAGGGAGAAGACCCTGGTGACAATTTGGTTGACACTGACAGTATTTTGATTTGATGAAGGCTATGGAGTTGATTTGCTAAACTGTGTTTGTTTATTTGAGACAGGGTGTCTCCATGTAGCCAAGACTGGCCAAGAACTTACTATGTAGCCCAGGCTGGCCTGGGAAGTTGTAATCCTGCTGCCTTAGTATTCTGAATACTGG